AAGTTCGGCGACGCACGCGTGTCTGGGCTTTTATCTAGTACCTGTGTTGTCAGTACGGTAAATAATTAAAAAATTCTATATGAATATTTTAACTGCAATCCATTAGCTGCTGCGGAATAACAGCTTAATATTCACAAACCTCCAACAGGCAGCCAGCAGTAGAGAATCGTTTAATTACTTACCCGACTGAGAACACAGGCGCTAGATAAAAGCCCAAACGCATGAATTTTGCCGAAGTTGTGCCGCTGCCTGACGCAAGTGTGAGGGATTCGGCTCATCAGTAGGTCCCAAGGTGTTCACATAGGGACTAATAACTATGCGGCAGGGACTATCGACAACGACAAGGGAAACAGGGGGTGTTTACTCTGTGCGCCTCAGATCTCTCCCGGCTTCTGAATCGGCCACTTGTTTTTGTGACTTTAGCAGCTTCTGTCGCGATTGGTGTTGTCACCGCAGTATAATGCGGCCTTATTTGCGCAGACCTTGCAAAGCAGTTGCTCCACGGGTAGCAGCTGTTGGAATTCTACGTGGTTGTCTTTAAACCAGTCCTGATGTTGTCCGCACGCAAGTTCAGGGGCCTACTTCGCTCGCTTCCGCTTTAGGGCACGAAAATGCCTCATTGGGTCTTGTTGACAGTAGTGGCGGGTGTTGATGGTCGCGTAAGCGAGGGCTACTGGCATTCAGCGCCTACTGCAGCCCCTCGTCAAACGAGCTCTTAGCGGATGCTCTTTCAGACGCACTTCTTAGCGTCAGACCTCAGAGAGAAATGCAAGGAGGCTAGTCAGTTTGATGTCTTAGGGGGTTTGCCTTCCCTGGTAATAGAAGGATTTTCCTTTTCGATAATCTACTAGAATATATATATATATATATATATATATATGGATATTTCTTCTAGACTAGCCGCACTGAATACTCGTACAACTGCATGCTGTGGTATAGACATCATGTCAAGTCTCACGACTGTGTGATTTAAGCTTCCGACTTTTAAAAAGATGCGATCTTCTATAATGTCAGTGAAAAAATAAATCAAATAACTAATTGAGAGTGGGAATAATGGTGCCCGTGAAATGTATTCTCGCATTGCCTCATACGACTTTTTGCCGGAGAAACTTATTAACCAGCCATGTTATTTACATTGGGGGAAATTATCATGATTTGCTTAACTAGCTTTTTCGGCTATCTTCATGCGTTCGTATAATTCGAAATACATGTCCTTATAAGAACGTCCAAAAGTGTTCCAATTTCAATTGGTTAAAATCATTTCTCCTTGTTTATACTGCGCCATCAACAAGAGCCGCCGCTCCATGTGCGTAAAAGAAAAATATCTTTGGATATGTCTCAGAGCAAAACTTTCTACTTAAATAACCATTCAGTAGGGACCTTGTATGGGCGATGTAAACCTGACTTCCTTCTTCTCTTTCGGAAAAGGTAAAATACCATTGAGGTGACAGGAAAAATATGACCCTTGAACTGGTCTTTAAAATCTGCAATTGACTTTTTGGATATTACTATACTACGCATCTACTTAAGCAGGCTGCTTTTCCTTCACCTTTTCCGATACTTTGTGAAGTATGGGACGATCATTATTGGGAATTTGTTTAAACAGACGCAAATGTTTTTCTAGGTTAAGATCATGTCCAGTCTTTCGGAAAATGGAATGATTGTGAAGTGTGTGCAATGGTGTAAACAATATTTCAAGTACCTGCACTGTGTGACTTGAGCTTTAATTTTAGGGGTTGCGAAACTTCTCATAACGACTATGGCTTTGCTTCCGATAAACACTTATCAGGCCGGTGCATTTATAATAAATGGGTCGCAAGTGAAGCATGCGAGCGATAAGAGAGACCGATCAAACTTCGTCATGTCATGCAAGTGAGTGTGGGGATGTGAGGGGAGGGTAAAAAGTGGCAGCTAAGGTTAGGAAAAGCCGTGTCAAGGGTGGAGAATGCAAGGAATTGCACGCACGCAATCCCCTGCGGTATCTGAAGGAAACCAATGTAACTATTTAGGTGAGAAAATATTGTTGAGATTGTCCACATTCCCAAAACGAGTCGGTAAATCTCGCAAGAAAGCACGCATGCGCGTCCCCCGCTGCGCGTCATGAAAGCGAAGTCGACAGCGTCTCCCCATTGGCTACGACCAGGCTGCTCCCCTGGAACCTGATTGGCTCGCGTCCACGAGGAGTTGCTGGACTCTGCTTGAATTGTCTTCTTGAAGCGGGCTAGGCAGAATGCTAGCCATTCTCAACTGGGTGCTCTAGATACACGCCATTTTCATGCGAGGAATGGATGGCAGGCTTGAATGCATTCCCTCGGGCTTGGTCGAGTTTTGCTCCTCTATCCTGTTGTCGTCTAGGACAACAGTCGTGCCCGACCGGATCAAAACAAAATACTGCTTGAAGCACAGTGTAATCTATACAGGTGGGAGCGCCCAGATTTCGCAGTTGCTGGCCTTTATGTCCCGAAGAAGGCGTCGCTATCTAAGTGCACTTCTAAAACCGTCAGGAGAGCCGAAATACCTGTGACAATTCTGAGGGGGCTCACTCTTCTCCGTTTTGCTGGTGAAATCTTAATCGTAGTTAGTAATTTTCCCAATTTGCTTTTTGAACCACGCTTTCTCCCGCGAATCAATGTGGATGCAGGAGAACCTATAAAATATCCGACATAATCTTGACTTCATAACCTTTGCGATTCTGACCAAGATCTTGGGCACCCTGTACAGTATACACTGGATGAAATAAGCACTATTTAGTGAAATGCTTTTTTTCATTAGTTTTACGCTTCGGCATAAATTCAACTACATGATCTAGGAGGAGTGCTCAGGAATTAATCCGCATTTTCACGTGGTTGGCAGTTACGTCTCCTTGGTAGCAAAGATTCCAATGTAAGATGTTCAAAAATTTTGACGGTGAGAATGTTAGAAGACTTGGCGTTGCCTGTGAGCTGCCCGTTTAAGAATGCTTCTTGAATTTACCGCAACATCATCCAGATCCTTTCCAGTACTCGTTTCATCATATCCACTACTAAGAAATTTAAGTTAGAAGGCGCGAAAGTGTTTCTAGGGTGTGACCTAGAAAACTGACTTATACCAATTAATAATGACTGAGGGCTGAAAAACGAGTGCATTTTTCCACCACACCGTTCTTGTAGACTTTTGCTGGGATTGAGTCTTCGCTCGGTGCCACTTCACTGAACGCCTACTGTCCTGCTATTATTCTGTCGAGAAAGGAAAAGACAGAGGAGGAGAGAGCTGGCGATAAAGGTTAGCATTTGTTGCTACTGGAGGAAGGAGATTGGCGGCTTCCCAGACGACAGATGGGCGATTAAGGATGTCCCTTAGTGCTCGGTCAGTACTCCAAGGTTTGCGAGCTCCTTAACAGCAGGACATTTCCGCCTAAACTGGAAAAAATCGTAGCTGTGGGACACAACCGAACGCCTCGCCTCCCTTTGGGTGATCATATAGCAACTAGTAATTACGCTGCAATGTGTATCGACAACGACAAGGGAAACAGGAGGTGTTCACTCACTGCACCTCTGATCTCTCCCACCTTCTGAATCGGCCTTCTGTTACTTCAGCAGATTCTGCCACGATTGGTGTTGTCACCGCAGTATAATGCCGCCCTATCTGCGCAGGTGTTGCAAAGCAGTTGCTTCACGTACAGCAGCTGTTGGACTTCTACATAGTTGTCTCCAAACCAGTCCTGATGTTGTCTGCACGCAAATGGAAGGGCTTGCTTCGGTTGCTGCCGCTTTAGGACATGAAAATGCCTCATTGGGTCTTGTTGACAGCAGTGGTGGGCGTTGATGATCGCGTAAGTGACGGTTAATGGCATTTAACGCCTGCTGCAGCCCCTCGTCAAAGGGGCCCTTAGAAGATGCTCATTCAGAGGCATTACGTAGTGCCAGACCTCAGACAGGAATGCAGGAAGACCAGTTAGTTGGATGTCAACACGCTTCGCCGGAACAAATGTCTTACAGAGACAATTTCCTTAGGGGTATTTACTAATCAAAATACGTCGTTTCGCGCGACAGTCGTAAGTGAAGTATGTGTCAACGCGGAGTCTAGGGGGGTCCAGCTGTGGGTCCACGTGACGGTCGTAGTAGGTCGCTCGCTTGCTTACAGGTGTAGGCTACGCCTAGCGTCCATTAACTGGCACCAATCTCTAACCTGTGACTCCCCGAAGTTAGGTTCTACCTAGCGACCACACCCCGGTAAACGTCTTGACCAGCGGGCAAACCGCAGTGAGGATATCCGTGTGTGCATCTCCGCACACTGTAATCTCGGCTCAGCTGGTCGCCACTGCCATCTCCGTGATGAGGTTCCATGTTACACACCGTAGGTGACCGCCGAGTAAGTGAGCCCCCCAGGAAAGCTGCCTTTGCTTCTCCTTGTTCTCGTCTGCTTAATTTCTGTCTGACTGTATGTGTTTGTCCTTGTTGAAAACGGATTGCCGTCCTGTTGAATTTCGTTTGCCTGTTGCTATACTTGCTTGCTTTTTGTCTGCATGTCTGTGTCTGTCCTTATTGTAAGCTAAATGCCATTGTGTTGAATTTATCTGCTAACGGTTCATATTTCAGCAGCCAGTTAGCTTAGAGAGGGAGAAGAAAGCTCTGCAACCCATCGCTCTACCCTTCTCCCTCCCTCCATTCAAGCTCATGGCGATGCCTTAGGCAGTCCCAGGCTAACTCGAGTCGCTTATCCAATAAACAAATTCGTGGCCTATAGTGGAGTTCGGCGTCCGACATGGAGGTCATGTCCGGTGCTGCCAGGATACTATTAAAACCTCCCTGAAGCGCCTGCAGATCCACCTGGCAAACTAGGAAGACCTCGCCCGGGACCAACCAACGTGGAGGAAAACAGTGAAAACAGGCACAGAAATCTCCGAGGTCAACCGCATCGCCGCCGCCAAAGTCAAACGCGAGACACGCAAATCTCGACTACCGCCGCCACCCCACAACGTCAACGCCCAGCCGCCTCCAACGTGTCCACGATATCAAAGGTCATTCCGAGCGCCATTTAGGCTTGCTAGACACCTCCGGACCAACTGCAGCAACCGCAACCGTCATCTCTCCGTCCACCTTTTCGTAGCCTCCCAAGTCATCAGCGAACGTTGACCGACCTGCAGAACCACCACTTAAATCCTCCTCCTCCTCCTCCTCATCCTCCTCCTCCACCACCACCACCACCCCCACACCCACCCCCGACGTCATCATGGTCAAGCTGGAGAGATTTCAACAACGCGATCAGATCAAAAAGCCCAAACATCATGGTCGCTACTTCGATGATATCTTTTCGATTGCAACCACAGAAAATGACGTTGCTACCCTCCTAAATGTTATAAACCAGGCACATGTATCGATCAAATTCACGTTGGAGATGGAATCAGTCGGTTCGCTTCCTTTCTTAGATGTTAATAAATACTTTTAAAGCCAAAGCACGAAATCTCCAAAAGGACGAATCGATGATGAGGCAAACTGACAATACAGACGGTAAAGCTAATCCGCAGCCCCCCCCCCCCCCCCCAGTACGGCTGAGGCCACGCTCCCGTTTTCGCCGATGAAAACTCTAGTCCTCTGTACTAACTCAGGGGTTTGGATTGAATTTCTAAAGCTGCATTGCTAGCCGTTACTACAGGAATGTAATTGTGCATTGCCTGTAAAAGACAACCGCCGCAAAAGACTGTTCCTTCGACGGCAAAGCAGGATTATCTACCGGAAAGCCGACGTCTGCGTCTTGACTTCATGCAGTGCGTGCTTTTGAAATCTTCACCTGACATTTGCGGTGGCACACACCAAGGCACACGGAGCACTTGTGGTTGCGTCTGCAGCGGAGCCGTTGTCTGTGTGATCCTTGTGAAGCAGATCCCTTACGGGCATGGGGAAAAGTACAGTCCGCCTAACGGATTGCTTTAGGCTACATTGCAGAGGAGGGGTTACCTAGCTACGTGTCCTGACTCTAGCTCCAGACCCAACCATAACCCACCTGGAACTTAGCAGAAGACCGCCTGTACTAGGAGAAGAGTTACTCATTCCACCTCCAAACGTGCTGAGCTTCTGCTTCGCTGTCTACAAACTAGTTCCGGTGTTATCGGCGCAAGGTTACAAGGTGGTGTAGATGGCGTGGCGTAGCCTGATCCATGCATTCTCAACATTTTCACACTTTAGAACCTGGTTGGCGTTTGCTCTACTCTTGAGATCTCGTCTGTGCTTGCGATGCCTTTGTTCTGAGGCGCTTAGTTTTCTGAGTAGCATCTTCTTATGAGTTGGCCCTCGTAGTTAGATTTTTAACCTCCGCACCTAAACAAATGAGCGGTGGTCGGCCCACCATTCCGCACTAAGCAGTGCCCATGTTATGATCATATTGCGGCGATCTCCCCCATTGTTGAGTACGTAGATGTCAGTGGAATGAGCAGGGTTTGTAGTCGAAGAGGAGAACGAAGGTTTCGTTCGTGATCCCGCGGCGGATTCTTAACTGTGACGATCAAGGACTACCTCTCTGCGGAACATGCTGTGAGCCCACTGATGCACTAAAGCCAGCGATTGAAGATCCACATACGTCCGGACTTGTAATTGTCGGAGAAAAGGCGCTGGCGACCGAGTTGATTTTTCTTACCTCGAGCAGAAGCGCGGTCCGTCCTTCGCAGCTCGAGTATCCTTGTTTGGTGGTGTGAGCTCCGCCAACAGTCAAGATGCCCGCCGTCTATTAAGCGAGTTTGTGGACAACTAGGACTGCTCTTATCCATGGCTGATATCTGATAGTTCGAGAACATCCAACGGTGTCTACCCTGTGCTGCACAGTAAGGTGAAGCCGGCACGGTGAATGGAGCGCGAATCAGTTAATAATGAGAGTAGACTTGCGTGGCATCTACCAGATGCCCAGTGTCAAGCACACCGGAGGCGGGGAGGGCCCGGCCAAACTCGCACCTTGGCGCCCTACGCCACACCTTCCGGCCCACAGAAAACACACGACCAGAATTTTGACCAACAAAAAGAACAACAGAAGAGACGTGGATGACTGGGCAGCCACGTACAGGACTCGTATACCCAGCGGGAGCGCAAGCGAATCTACCACCAGGGAATCAGGAAGCGGAAAACTGCCAGAGAACACTAGGCTGTCAAGACCACGGGGTTGCTGACCGTGGCAAAGCAGACGCTCACAAACCTTGGCGTGCGATCGATATCTAAAAGTGGAGAAACATGCTGCGTCGCCATCGTGACGAGAGTCACTCTGAAGGTAAGGCGGTGGGATTGAATGGGTTGGTGGGGAAGTTTCTATCTAATGTTCTTCAGCCGCGCCTAGTTCGCTCAGCTGTGAAGGCAATTGGAGTCCAAAAACGGGATAAATAGCATGCGGCTACCAATTACCACAGTAGCTGATGATAGGGAGAAGTGTAGAACTGCTTTTTAAGAGGGAGGGATGGGGAGTGAAGACTGAAGGCGGGGTTCGTGTTGGAGGCGACCGTGTGGCGAGGGCGACTTACGCGGGAAGACATACAGGGACAGACTGCTATCGCTCGTGGCCATATCCTGTCTACAGCAAAATAACGTCTTCGGTTTTACAGCCATGAAACCAACACCGCGCGCGCGTGGTGATAGAGGCAGCGGGAAACCAAGCAAAGCACGGCGAAACGAGTGCGTAGAGTTCAAAGTCGCACATAAGACGCCACATGGTCAAGCGAAAAGTCGCAAATCGGTTAAAAAGGTGACTACCCTAGAGACCAAAACAGTTATCCATAAACTAGCCAAACTAACCAGTTCAGAACATAACATATTTTCTTTTTTGAACTTTTACATTCGTTAATGTGGTCCCGAGCTCCTTATTCAAAAGCCGAGGCGAAGAAACTGCTGTTCTCAGCGATCAACGCCTTAACGTTAAAGCGCCAGCACCCCCCTAAATGCCTGCTGGTAACCCCCATAAAGCCTCCCAGTTCGTAAAAGTCCCCAGTAGTTTAATACAGAAATATACACATATAGTTTTTATTGTCGCAATCAAGGCGCAGGATCTCCGGAGGCTACAGCATTGTCTTGGAGATCATCTGGTGAGCTGGCAACCCCCTTGAGTGTGCCGTCCTCGCGCACCTTTGAATCCAACACAATAGTCACCGGTCCGTCGTTTACAAGGGAGACATCCATCAGAGCTCCGAAAACGCCATCTGCAAGGGAAAGACAAACACCACTGGGGTCACACGGACTGATGGGTTGGAGTGTGGTCTACGACAGAATTGATCACAATCATCATTTCCGGTTTATTAGCGTCCAGCTATAACTCAAACCCGGGGTATGCGACGTAACTAATTAAGTGCAATGATGGAAATCTACAGTACCTGATCTATCTCATGAAATGTTAGTTGGGATTCCGGATCGGATCTCATTTCGTAGCTGTACCTACAATAGACAGGCTCCAGCCGCCTTTCATACGGAACTGATGGTAATATAGGACTTAACACTACCTCCCTAACCCTAAACATCAAACATAACCCCTAACAGTAACCCTTAACTCTAGCCCCTAACCCTAACACTTACCCCAACGCCTAACCCCTAAAAGGCGCGACTACAAAAGTCTGAAATGTATTTTAGACTAGCAGGGAGTAATTAGGGGGGGGGGGGGTTATTACATTGGCAACCGCGCAAAATAGCCGCAATATGTTTCAGTCACATCAAGATGACGGTTTTTAAATAAGCTCTGGTCCATCCGTCTGTAGAAACCACATCCAGTAAAAATTACTTAAATTGCACGCCTTTTCCCCAGTGATTTTCGATGCCAATAGAAGCGAAGAGACCTGTCCCAGGAAGAGGTCTTGAAGACGGAAACACGATCGCTCGGACAAGAGATTTATTAGCCTGACGTTTCGGATTCCTGCTCAAACCCACTGTCAGAGACAACAGCAGATACTGGTGGTTCATGCACAAAGGGCTGCAGTATTTATAGGATGCAGTGGCCATGCTACCGCATACCTATGAACATTCACGGTTCCCTCCCCCCTTCATCAGGGATCGTTGCACTTCCTGTGCTAATTGTTTGATGGCCGACATTCGCGTAGTTAATTGCTGCGATTTCATCACGTGCGTTGGATGTTGGTGTTATGATTGCTCGGCCATCTGACCCATGGACCCTGGCGTAGGGACCAGGGTTCATCTGTGCGTTCCTCGCGTGGCTAATTAATCCTCCCAGGCGAAGCGTCAGCACCGAGTAAAGAAGCGGAAGTTCATCGCACTTGTTAATGAAGTGGAGGCCAGTGAACCATGACTCAAGCAGCTCACGGCTCACGCGGTTGTCGTCTCTTGCTAGAATTTCAGCCTCGTCGAATGTGAATGTGTGGCCGGATCTCTTCGAATGAACCGTAACTTGAGAGCTGGCGTTATTTCTCCGCACCGCTGCGGCGTGTTCAGCCATCCTCGTTCGGAGCTGTCTGCCAGTTTCTCCGACGTAGTTGCTTTGTCCTCAAATGCACAAGATCCGATAAACCACTCCAGATGCTTCTTGCCGTGGCAGTGGGTCTTCCAGATGCATTACCTGACGCCTGAGGGTTGCCTCAGGTCTGTTTGCAACTCCACATACGGAATTGCTCGCCAAAATTTTCGGTAGCATGGCAACTGCATCCTATAAATACCTCAGCCCCTTGTGCATGTGCCCCATGTGTATGATTGCACGAAATTATATTTTTGTGAATATTTTTCTTTAAAAAAACGTTTGAACCTATGAGGGCATTGAAAATCAGTGGGAAAATGCATACTGCTTAAGTAGTCATTCCTTCTTCCGAGTGTGAATTTTACAGGTGGAAGGATCGAAGCATATTCAAAAGCCGGCATCCTGTCGCGGTTAAAATATCATGCGATTATGCTGTGCCGCAATCAATACTTTAACCCCACCAAAATACGGCATGTGGCCTTATTCATAAAACATGACGGAATGAAAATGAAACGATCAATTGCAGGCAGTTAAAATGCTGCACTTTTTACTTATTCGCTTAGCCTATTCCGGAAAGTGTTATCTTTTCCAGCGAGATAATGTTTATAAAAAAAATCTATCAGTCAGAATGTTTACAAATTTGAGCGGAAATCCACGTTAATTTGTACTCGGGTGGCCGCCTATGATAATAGCTAATCTGGACTAAGTTTGCACACGTAAATGTGTTTTTCTACGAGAAGAGTCTTCTAAACTTGAGTTACCAGACGAAACTTACTGCACCTAAAATTGATTTTTTCTCCCCACG